CTCCGGTGTTAGACACATGTGAGGGACCAGCCCTAGTGCCATCTTCCCCCACCACTCTCATTCCACCCCATGGACTATCTGCCCTTGAGTCGACTCAGATTGTTCATGTGCCGGGTGGATTCTCCAGCAGGCAGGGGCGCTGGTCCCTTCCTCCCAGGGTGTGCTGGTCGCTCCACTGACGGGAAACAACCTCGGGCTGCGCAGGGCAGAGATCAGGCCGGGCCTGCGGGAGCTCCACCTCTGCAAGGACGAGCGCGGGAAGACTGGGCTCAAGCTGAAAAGCATCGACCAGGTGGGTTCTGAGGCCAGTGTGCGCCGCTCACCTTGGGTTCACTGGGGTCCCATCAGGCCTGGCTCCTGAGCGCCGGGGCTGGGACCTGCTGAGCAACCTCAGCGTTAATAAGAACGAAGACAAGGAGAAGCAGGACCCCTTTGTGATAGTGATCTGTTTGGTCTGAGGATGCACTTTGCTGTGCTCTGACCATGAGATGGGACACCAGGAGACAAACCCCTTGGAGCCAGCCTGGTGCCGGGCTCGTCCTGGCAGCGCCCACTGTGGTCCTTTACCTCTGTCACAAACCCTCACATTGCAGCCCCAGGTCTTTCCAGCTGAGGACTGGCCAGCATCCCTTGCTGAGCTGCTCCACAGTCAGCTGGAGTGGTCACCGGTGAGTGATGCGAGCATTTTCCCGGGCACGGGATGCCTGGTGCACCCAGCGCCGCCCATGTGACAGTCGGACTCCTCCTCATCCCACAGGGGGTGTTTGTGCAGCTGGTTAAGGCCAACTCCCCGGCGTCCCTCGTCGGGCTGCGCTTCGGGGACCAGGTGCTGCAGATCAACGGGAAGGACTGCGCTGGCTGGAGCACGGACAAGGCTAACAGGGCCCTGAAAAAGGCCTCCCCGGAAAAAATCGTCGTGATCGTGCGAGACAGGTGCGTGGGGTGGGGGGGCGCGCTCGGCCTGTGTCCGGCTTTCTCAGCGGCGCGTCAGGTCCCGACTAATCGCCCGTGTCCTGGTGCCTCCCCCAGGCCCTTCCAGCGCACGGTGACGATGCACAAGGACAGCACGGGGCACGTGGGGTTTGTCATCAAGAAGGGGAAGATTGTTTCTCTCACCAAAGGCAGCTCTGCAGCCCGGAACGGCCTCCTCATCAACCACTACATCTGTGAGCTGAACGGGCAGAACGTCATCGGCCTGAAGGTAAAGGTCCCCGGCGAGACGTGCTGGGAGGGGTGCGCGTGTGAGACTCCCTGAGCCAGGCCCCTGGCCAGGAAAGGGACCTGCTTGTGACCATCCCTCGCTCGGGGCCTGGTCCCACAGAGGGAGAATCCCGCTTCTCTGGGGCAGCCGTAGGAAGCCCCTTGCATCGGGCTATGGTGCCCTACAGCTGAAGATTTGTCTCTCTCCTGAGAAACGGGACTGAGTGGTCTGAGACGCTGCCACTGTGGGTTACTGCTGCCTCCTCACGAATTGCTGCTGTTGAAGTGTTTCCTGTGGAGATGGGTCAGACCAGACGAAGCAGCTGGGTACTGAGGAGTTTGCAGGGAAGATTTTCTAGAGCCACCCAGCCCCTTTCAGTGGGACTCGGGTCCCGAACGCCCCCTTGTGGCTTTGAAAATCTCCCCCAGATGGTGTCTTTGATTAAAAGAAAGAACTGGCAGTTGGAGGCTGAAGGAAGCTGATCTCTTGTTAAACGTAGCGGAACTGAAAATATAAACTGGAGTAGTTGGCTGCCGAACACACTCAGTGGCTGTTTTGGTCCCTCTTCCCAGGTCTCCCTCTTACTGGGGGCCCAGCGTGGCCCCAGCACGGGGGTGAAACAAAGTCTTTTTTCATGTCATGCAGTGAAGTTAATTGGTGTGATGTCAGCCTGAATAAGGGCTGGTTTGTGGGAGGTCCCTGCAGCTGCCCCTAGTGCGAGAGTCTTTTGGTTTTAAAGGCTGCCGGGTTAAAATTTTTTTAAAAAATCAAGGCTGACGGGTTTTTTTTTTTTTACTAGCGAGGTTTGCATAGCAAATAGCCACCCCATGCATGCCTAACTCATCACACCTAGCAGGGAACTGACAGGCCTACGCTCTGGCCACACTACATCTCCTTGGGCTGCTGCAGGAGTGCACAGCGGAGTGGCAGGTGTGCGTTCGCTCGGCCTAGGGGGGAGCCCTTGGCCTGTGCAGCAGCTGGGTCTGTGATATCGTGTTTCTCAACTCTTCCCCCCTCAAGGACAAACAAATCCTGGATATCCTGGCTACAGCTGGTAACGCTGTCACCATCACCATCATCCCCACAGTGATCTACGAGCACATGGTCAAACGGTAGGGACATTGGCTTCCCACACACATACAATGGCAAAGTGAGTGCCTCCTGGCCCGGTGTGTCCCAGCTGGAGGCATCTGTGAGACCTTCATAGCGTTCTCTTAGAATTCAGAGCCTGGGCTCCAGCCCGAACCTGACCCAGGCCAGCCACAGCCGTGCCCTGGGGCTTTTATTACAGTGTAGGCATGCCCTCAGTGCCGCTGTGCTGGTCCCGTTTGTGCACCCCGGATCAGCCTTCCTGACCCCTCGGGGAGCCTCTGAGCTGAAATTAACACGTTTGTGAAGTGCTGGGTGCTTTCAGTCACAGGTGCTAGAGAAGGGTCTGGTTAATTACTTTAAATTTAAGAAATTATGCCTTTCATAGGTGCCAACAATCCCCCACAGCCTCTGTGTGGTGCTTAGCACAATGGGGCCGCTGGCTGCCGCTGGACTCTTGCATCTTTCCCTTTTCAGTTAAAAGGATCAGAACCCACGGTGCCAACAATGCTCATGCAAAGTCCCAAGGACCCTCAGCAGGCTTTTTGCAGGCCCGTTCCTCCACCGTCCTCTGTACCTTGCGTGGTTAGAGTCGACGCTGTTTGAGGGACCAGGTCATGCTCCTTTTCTGACAGCACTGGGCACGCTCTGTGCTACGTACATTGGTTTACCTAGTACAGTTTTTTTGGTGCTGTTCATGAAGAGTCAATTCCTGCCCTCTCCACCCCCCACACATGTACGGCAGGCAAGCGCTGTCCAAGGGAAGGGGGAGGTGTGCTAGGCAAAGATACTGAGCAGATCCTTGGCACAAACACTTCCTAACTGACCTTTTTTCCATCTACTAACTAGGCTGTCACCTGGGCAGATCAAGTCGTCCATGGACCACTCTCTTCCTGATGTTTAAAGCCAGGCACCTGGTCAGTGGGAGCTCAGAGAATCTTCCTTCCTTTTATTAAATGCAATATAAGAAAGACTTTCCTACAATGCGTGGGAAAACAGGTGCATCTCTATGGGGAATATTCTAGAGCAAAGACCAACTGTTTCCTTTAATCTTTTATTCATTCACCTGGACAGGCTTGAGCCTTGTTTTGTCCATTGATCGGCTGGTGTCCGAAGGAGTGTGGGGAGGTGGATGTGGGTAGAGATGCGGGTGTACACACACAAAAGAGAGGTGAGTGGTTGTGGGGGGCCTCCCTGGTGGAGGCCATGTGATGCAATTCTTTCAAGACCCCACACACACAGAGCTATTTTAATAAACTAAATTAGAAATGTTCCTCTTTGCCTGTTCTTAAACTGAGGGAAGTGAGGGTAGTTTTAGGAGCTAATGAATCACTCAGTTGAGTGGCCATTGGCTCAGTGGCCACTCCAGCATCGAGTGTGCCCAAACCACTGTGCAATACTGCCCCAAAGTAGTTTACTATTGAAGGGTGAGCCCTGCGGCTGGATAGCAATGCATTCACACTTGTTCCTCTTTGCACAAGTTGGGACGTGACAAACTGGGGTGGGGGGGAACCATGGGCATGAGTTCTTCCTCAGTTAAATCCCAGGCCAGCTTGAGGGAGGTGTTTGCAGAGCAGGTCAGATCAGAGGGGGTTTGTCCCATCACAGATTAAGGCGGAGAGAAGGTGAGAATGGGAAAGGCCTCAAGGCAGAAAGACAGGTGCATGTCAATACACCCAGGCTGCTACCCAAAGAGATGTAGTGGGGACTGGTGGACTGAAGTCCTAACACCCTGCAGCATAAATTCCCCAGTCCTGGCTCAGAACGCTGTACTCAACACTAGCAGACGTCGTCTTATTCCTTTCTCCATGGTCCACGAGAGCCACTGCTGGCAAGGGATGCTGTGCTGGGCCTCTGCCACGCGGAGAATCAAGGAGTTAGACGAGAAGTGCCCTATCCCCTGTCTGCTTTATCAGCCTTCCTACTTCCCCAGCCCTCCCTGAGACACACACCACAGAAGGAAACGTGACCCCACCAATGCAGCTTGCCTGAAAGCCTCCGCTGAGCCCTCAAGCACAAGGCTCTCTGGGCGTTGCTGCTTCTCCATCCCTGGCTCGGGTTTGACTGCCCAGGCCTGAGAGCTCGTTAGCGCCCCAGGAGCAGAATGCACATTCTGGGTCCAGGCTTCAAGTCCATGCAGCAGGGGCTAGGCCACGGGTGGCCAGCCTGAGCCTGAGAAGGAGCCAGAATTTACCAATGTACATTGCCGAAGAGCCGCAGTAATACGTCAGCAGCCCCCCGTCAGCTCCCCCACCCCGCACCTCCCGCCCACCGGCAGCCCTGCCAATCAGCGCCTCCCCCTCCCTCCCCGCACCCCGATCAGCTGTTCCGTGGCGTGCAGCAGGCTCTGGGGCGGGGGGGCACGGCAGGCTCAGGGGAGGGGGCGGGAAGGGGTGGAGTGCGGGCAGGACCTGTGGCAGAGCCAGGGCGTGAGCAGTGAGCACCCCCCGGCCCATGGGAAAGTTGGCGCCTGTAGCCCCAGCCCCGGAGCCGGTGCCTAGACAAGGAGCCGCACGTTAACTTCTGAGGAGCCGCATGTGGCTCCGGAGCCATGGGTTGGCCACCCCTGGGCTGGGCCCTCACCCTAGCAGTGTTTCGCCACTCAGAGGCGGGGACACTTTGAAAGGGGAACATCTGCGGAACGTGCGCTCCAGCCCAGCTCTCTCCAGAGCAGAAGCCTACGGCTGGCTACATGGAAACAGACACGGCAGAGACCCAATGCCATTTATTACATCCACCAACAGACAAAGATTACAGGCCCCTGGGAACAAAAAGTGGTTACAGCTTTTAAGTTCTGTATTTAAAAAATATATAGATTTCTCTTTCAAATATAACCCTACACTGATTTCTCGGCAGAGCTTTGGATCGTCTAACAGACATGTACACACATTCACAAATACATTGCACAAGAGCCTTAGATCCTAGTTCCAATTACAGTTGCCATTTTGACTGGATTTTGTCCATTTCTCCCCAAATGCTTTAGATTACATTATCAAACCCAAGGCTCCTTCACTCCAGGCTCCCCCACTGGCTACCACATTTTGAAAATCAGTAGCCCACTTTTACCCTGCAACAAGCGCTTGTCTCAAAGGGATATTGATTTGTGACAGTCCAGACGTGCTGGACACAGGTTGTGAAAGTACGAGCATGTGGCATCATCAACACATGCAGCAACACCCCTCTGCCCCCCCTGCCCCCCTCAACAAATGGGCAGGACACATGACCAAGGTAGTCAGCCATCTCTGGTAAAGTCTAAATAAAGCTGTTTGATGGTCTGACCAAAGGGCAAAAAACCCTGGGAGGTGTACCAATGTGATCAGCCCCAGATGATTGGACCCCGCCAGAAAACTAGCTTTAAACCATCACAAAATGAAACTATTAAAATAAATACTCCCTCACCCAATGTGTGTGGAGGAGATGGCAGCGGGACTGGGAGGGTTGGGGGGGACGTAAAAGAAGAAACATTGTTTGTTCAAGTAATCATCAGGGTAAACAAAACCTTTGCAGCCAGATTCAGAAACACGTGTGCAATTCTGTAAACAAAGTATATGTGCATAGTTATCACTGTGCATGCATGTGTGTGTGTGTGTGTGTGTGTGTATACACAAAAATGCACTCGCCATTCTGAAGGCCTGGCCCTTTGGGTCAGTCACTTCACAGAGAAGACAGGGGCAAGGCCACCCAAACCCCAAGTTGATTTTATGCACTCTCAGGGCTGAACACTGCAGACAACCCCGAGCCGATTACCCATCGGAGCGCTGGAGTGTACGCCAGCAGGCTTGCTCTGAACATCTAGATTGGCAGAGGAACTGGTTTGGATGAGGCCTCATTTTCTCTAGGCATTTGTCCCCAGCTGATCAATCTCGGCAGTGAAATTTGGCTTTTAAAGGGATTTCAGGAGGCCACTTGAAGATGTTTTCTGCCAGCCTAAGTTTTAGACAAGCTGCCTCCAGAGAACAGGGCTATGCGCTCCCTGTGCCCTGCATGGCCCTCTGCCTTCTCTGTTCTGTCCCCGCCACCACTGAAAACAAATCACAACTCCATGCCAGTTTCAGGCATCTCCAGCTGTCAAAATCAGCACCGAAAGCTCTGCGGCAATGGGCAGCCAGATGCCCCCCCACCCCTAGCGTAACCAAAACACTCTCACCCTGCACTCCTATCGGACACTTCAGTACTGAAGGGAGCCGCGTCTCCGGCCTGAGGAAACCCCAGCTGCTTCTCTCTGCTCCAGGACGAAGAGCTGGGATGGAAGCAGAGCAGCATCAAAGGACTCCGGGGCCTTGGCTCGTCCTTGTCTGAGTGTAACCCTAAACCCTGCACCTGCAGTGCAGATGTCAGCCTGTCTTTGAAACCTGCAGCCATCTGAGGTGTGCAGCACAGAAATTTCCACAATGGAGCTTCTGTTTGCAAAAAGTGAACATGGTGCAAAGCACGGAATGAAAGAAACAGAATTTAAGGAGTTCTCACCATGGGCAGCCTGGGTGCATATGCAATACTGCACAGAGATACAGCAGGTGGCTCTGGCTATGGAGATTCACATGAGGTATATCTGGCTTCTCTCGCTTGGCCACTGGGCCCTTACTGTCACATCTTCCAGGAGGCGAAAAGCTTTAGAACTGGGTCAGCAAAGCAGGACTTGAACCAACAGGTCCAAATCCCCAGGAGGGGACAAGGATAAGGGAGTGACGTTCACGTGGTTTCCAAAGTGAATTTGTAGGCAAGCATCTGTCCACTCTGTCCTCTGACCCCATCCTCTGGGGGAAGGGATTCTGAGTCACTGACTCTGCCACTGGCAACGGGAGCAGACTTGGGCAACCCTCGTTGCTCCACCCTGCTCCTAGAAGGAGGGAAGCCACGTTCTGCATCGGCTCTCACACTGATTTAGACTAGACTCCTCTCTGCAAACCGGGAATTCAGTCCTCTCCCTGTTTATTCTGCAAAGCATGTTGGGAATAAGGACATCTATTCTAGAGAGGCACCTCCCCCATTCTAGCCCTTGTCCCCATCTCTCCTGCCCATGCCGTCTTGATTTCCCCTTTGTTCTCGACACGTTAAAATGAGTCTCTGCAAGCAACGTCACTTGAGAGCTGCAGCCACTTCAACCATTAACCTGTGTCCCCAGAGCACTGGGCAGGTTTTACCCGCAGGACTCCCCTCACGCTGACGGCAGGCATGGTGTTTTCCTCTTGGGACTCAGGAACAACTGTAAGAACAAGTACGATACAATAAAAGGCCAGCTGGGCAGCTAGCCTTTCAAATGACCCAGCCATGTCCCGAGGGAACAACAGAAGAGGACTAGTCAGGGGAGGAAAGGTGTAGGGGGAAGGGATCCATCAGTCCAGGAAAGGGTTTGTAGTGCTCTTTCTCTCTAGATGAAGTGACCGTGGGTACATCTGCACAGCAAAAAAGGGTCCCGTGGCAGCAAGTCTCAGAGTATAAGGTTAACGGACTCGGGCTTCTGCAGCAGGGTTCAAAACAGCAAGTTGGGGTTGTGCTGGAGTCTGGGCTCCGATACCTGGTGCGGGGAGGGTCTCACAGCCTGAGCAGGAATGCTGACACTGCAATATGTAGCCCTGCAGCGCGAGCCTGAGACAGCTGACCCGGGCTCTGAGCCTTGCTGCCGCAGGAGGTTGCGCTGTGTAGACGCACCCTGTACATACACATCTGTGCTACACAGACTTCGCTTGTGGACAGTGCAAAATCCATCAGCTACATCGCCTGCCGGGCAAGTGTCCTTCAGCAGGAGGCTGGGGTGGCCCCCCCCTCAACTCTGCGCTTCCAGAATTGGCCTTTTTTAATTCCTCAAACATCTCAGAAGCCAAAGCAAACCCAGAAGCTCATTTCCTCAGGCCCCTGGCAGGCCCCCTGGAAGTGCAGATTCTAGATGCAGCAGATCAGAGGATGTCAGGGTGCATCCGATGAAGTGAGCTGTCGCTCACGAAAGCTCATGCTCAGATAAATCGGTTAGTCTCTAAGGTGCCACAAGTCCTCCTTTTCAAGTCGCCCATGTTCTTCGAATAAATAAAACGAACGTTTTGCGTGTCTGGAATTTACAATCAGTGGTCAAATAAATTCTGGTGGTTTCGCAAAGTCGTACCTTGAAGCACGTGCAGTGTGTTTGGCTGGTGGAAGAGGGGAGTCAGGGCGGGGAGCTGCAGCTGCTATCTCGCACGCTGCCAACGGAACGACAGTTGACCTTGCGTAAGGAGTGCAGAGCGACCGTGCAGCACCCGCGGAGCAGCGAGCTGATATTGTATATGGGCTGGCCCTGCCTTCGCTGAGTACGGCACAGCCAGGCTACCGTGGGCACCGCCGGCACCACCACGGCCAGCAGATCCACAAGGAAATGGCGGCTCCAATAGGGTTTCGGTGCTGCGGGCTCCTGGCTCAGCTCGGCAGCGTCTTCCTCCAGGGTGCAAACGACGCTCACCGACTGGCTAGTGCTCGAGGGCTGGTGCACAGCAGGGTTGCTGGTCACCAGCCCCTGGCAGCCCTCTTGCCCCTCCGGAGTCTCTGGCCCGTCTCCTGCAGTCACCACCACAGCGGAGTTGGGTTCAGTCGCCATCAAGTCCGTGGTCCCGGAGAAGTTCTGGGCCTGAGTCTCTGAGCTGGGCACTATGTCTTCCATTTCGGACACCCACACTGAAGTGGGGCTGCCCAGACTGCAAGCCTGGGACTTCATGACCTTTTCCAGGATAGTGTCCAGGTCCGGTTCGTAATGCACAAAGTCAGTTTGGATGGCCTGCTCCTGCATGCAGCTCGCCTGCACTCCAGCCTCCACGCTGCCTTGTGTACCCAGAAGTTTCTCATAGGTGGAGCTGGTGGGAAGTCTGGAGCCCAGCGTGAAGGAGCTCTGTAGAGACCCCTCCTCTGTGCAGAACTCTACCCCTGACGAGAGCAGGCTGCTCTGCTCCAGCAAGTCCGTCCGGCTCAGCGAGTCATCTGCAGCCACGAAGCCACTGTCCAACACCTCCTCAGCTGACAGGGTCTGTGAGTCGCCAGCGTTTCTGTCCCCTGCTGCCTGGTCACTCAGCTTGGTGTAGGTGGAGCTGCGGGTGAGCGACCGGGCTGGAGAGCCCCCCACCGACTCCCCAGCCCCTTCCTCCTTCACAGCCCCATTCTGTGCTATCTCCATGCTGTGCAGCAGTGTCTCCAGCTTCTTATTCTGGATGTTGATGTCCACAAAGTATTTCTGAAGGCCTTTGTCCTTCTCCATCAGGTTGTTCTTCACGGTGTCAATCACCTGCTTTAGCTGTTTGATCTCCTTCCGGGCCTCCTTGAGTGCCAGCTGGGCCTCCACACGGTGGCACTCTTCCTCGATCCAGTCCTCCTGCATCCTTGAGAGCTGGGTCTTCAGATCCTCAATCTCAGTATCCCTGCACCAGACAGACAGACAATCACCACCACTTCAACCAGAGGGGGCCGGCGTGACACGACTGGAGGTCGGAATTTTGCATAGGTGTTGACAGTCCACGCTAAAAGTAGTTTGGATGGTGCATTTCTGGGGTCACTCTCTGAGGGCAAATTATTGTCCAAACCCCCTAATCACCATCTTTCTCCTCTCACCTACGCAAGGACCCTCTATACAAGGAGAAGGGCAGACAGGACTTATATGGGTAAAAATGGTCGTAAACCGAAACACAAAGTATTTTGGCACAAAGTTGTTCTGTGATTAGATTGTCCAATCCCAGGTTCCCTTGGGTAACAGCAGCACTGGGGAGGTGTGTGTGTTCAGTGGGGAAGGGGCTTAGAAAGCACACGGGGGGGGGGATACTTTCTGAGGGAAGCAAAGTGCGGGGACAGCCAAATAGAAACCCTGTGACCATCTCTTACTGTGGTCCCTTCAGATGAGAATCTTCTAAGCTCTGCAGGTTTAAACTAGTGTAAATGGTGGATTCTCTGGAACTTGAAGTCTTTAAACCATGATTTAAGGCCTTCAGTACCTCAGCCAGAGGTTAGGGGTCTGTGACAGGAGTGGGTGGGCGAGGTTCTGTGGCCTGAGATGTGCAGGAGGTCAGACTAGATGATCACGATGGTCCCTGCTGACCTTAGAGTCTATAAGTCTAGTTCACAACTCCATCCCTTTTCCTACACCGCCAAGATATTAGGTATTGGGGGGACGGGGACAGTGGGACGTGGATTTGTATTCATATACAATGCTCAATAAATATACAGTATACAGATAGAAATATAAGAACACCACAGTGTACTAATATCTGCTGCTCAAGAAAATCAGATCAGAGAGCAACTTGATGGAGAATGGGAGAGTCAAAAACCTGCCAGGTGAAAATCACGGTCTCTGCAATCTCCAAATTTGGCAACAAACTTAAAACTGATAAAAAGAAATGCTTTGTTTTACACAACTCCTGACTAACCTGTAGAACTCACTGCCACAGGATGTTACTGACTGCTTAGTCAGATTAGCACAAGGATTAGACATTCATGTGGATAATGAGATCATCCACAGCTACACATTTTTATCCTATATACGGGATATAAACTCTCATGCTTCAGGGCACAAACCAACCACAAATTGCCTGCAGCTGGGAAGGCTGTTTCCCCTCTGGTCATAGTTGTCCACTACATGGATTCTGGCGCCGCCCTCTGAAGCAGTGGATACTGGCCACTGTCAGAGACTAGACACTGATTTGGAGGTTCCTATGCATTCAGTTACAACCTTCCCATTTCCTCATCCCCACTGGTGTTGGGACCCTCCTGTTACTTGCTCATCTGCGTCAGCACTTACCTGTCCTGGAGTCTCTCTTGGGTGTCCTTCAGCCGGGCCTTCAGGTGTCTAATGCAGACCTCCTTCTGCTGGAGGGGGGTCAGGTACTGCTCAGGAGTGGGGGGCTTTATCCCATGGTTATCGCTGCACAGACTATACTTGATGGGCCGCCTAGGAAAACAGGACAGTCAACATCCCCACCAAGCTCTACAAGTAAAACAATCCCAACCACATCAGTGCTGCTCCGCACAGAGCCGTTCCAACCTGGCCCTCAGCTCAGCTCATTCCCTTGCCTTTGCTGGCAGGAATTCTAGCACAGCCAGGCACCGGGACACAGGCTGATAGGAGCCAGGAGTCTCAAAGGGAGAGAGGAGTTTCACCAAGTGGGGAACTTTAACCTTTTCCTCCCCACTTCTCAGATCTGAAGTACAAACCCCCTGGATTACACACCTTCCTGGACTCCTGTGAGACATCCCAGCGTGCGCTCAGCTGACCACACCTAGAGCACTCCAGATCGGTACGGGAGAAAGGAGCCTGTCTGTGTGACTAACAGAAGACCCCCCTCGCCCTCCAACACCCAGCAGTGTAAGAGCCCTGATATTCCTAAAGTGGGACACATGGTAAGACTATTAAGAACTGCTGAATATCACATATTTTCATTCAGAAATTAAAGCAGGTGTCCTCTGACCAGACTCCTTTAGGACACCCCCCCCAGGTAGACAGTATTTGTGCAGCAGCCCTGAGCTATGGTGGTGGTGATGATTACTAGAGCTTCATGGGGGTACAAAGCATCATACGGACACACTGAAGACAGGCCCTTGCCCCCAGGCAGCCGACAGTCCCTCTGCTATCAGCAGACTGGGCTCTGGGGCATCTCCCTGGAGAGGGACTTCACTTTAGCCCTGGAAAATACAACCACCAGAAGCAAAAGAAAGGGTTCATTATAAAAAAAAGATGTTTATTACAGAAACATCGCTGGCCCTGGTTACTGACACATTTGAACGCTAACACTAAAGCTGGACCTATAAGAAGGGTAGATCCGTCGCAGAGCTCTGCTAGGAGAGAGGGGAACCCTGCAGACAGCAAACACCCTGACCTCTCTGAGCGAGCTCCCACGGCAATGCAAGATTCTTAGTGATTTTCTAAAGAGAGCCCAAGCTGGGATCTCGCCCCTGGAATACGTCACCAGGAGCACGTTTCCAAGAGGCAGAGAGCTCTGGATTAGAACTTGCTTGAGGCAGTTGCTCATCGTGGCCACGAAGGGTCACCCAGAGGACACTAAGGGGCTGGGTGAGTAGTCAGTCACGGGCTAGCTTTTTGCTCCTGCACTCCTACGTTCAAATCCTGGTGGCATCAGACGCGCAAATCAAGGCTGATGGTGGCCACCTGTCCACAGCACAAAACCACTGGACAATGGGGCATGATTAGCAGCCGCTGCTCAAGAAGGCCAGGGCTGAACTAGAAGAGGGGATTGCCTCTCAGGATGGAAATGTATTGACATGCCTGCATGGGTGCCTGGGACTGGAAAAACAGGGAGTGAACCATGGATGAGGGTTGTGGGTCATTGACAGAGCTACGGGAGGAAACCCAGTGCAGTGTCCAGCCGCAGCCTCTGGCTAGTATCATTAGTCCATCGCTGTCCCAAACAGTGAATTCATTCAGAAATTCAAAGCAGAATATCTATCCTAACAGGGCACCCTTGGGCTGTGTGTGCCTCTGGAGAACCAAGGAGATTTGGGGGCCCATCTGGAATGGGCTTCGATACAGCCCCCAACCCCAAACACACAAAACACAGCAGACAACGAGTCATATTCTCCACTGGGGCTAATCAGCACAGCTGCCCTGACGTCAGTGGAACTGCACTCATTAACTGGGGAGCAAAGCATGGCAATGGGGGGACGGGAAAAGTAGAACTATCTTCTCAGCTGTTAAACCCCACTCCATGTATCCCCTGGCCACAGCGCCGACGTTTACCCAGTCCTGACACTTCCTGTTGTATTGGCTGAGTCAAGCACGACAAGACACAAGTGACAGAGCAAGGCCCAGATCTGATGTGCAGCACGCGAAGGGCGAAGAGGCACGTGACAAACCAAGCCAGCTGTGCACTGTACTCTTGCTACAGCACTGGAGAGCTGGTCCGTTAGCTGCAGCACACACAGGCGACATGTGAGCAAAGAACTGGTGCCAGGCAGGGAGCAGAGGGGCTCACAGCAGCTGTAATGCAGAGAGAGTGGGGTTTCTGAGCCGCTAAGTCCCTCTCAGCAAACTCGGAGGGGGCCATATGTTTACTTATAGCGAGAAGTTGGTCGATTTCTCCATGATGAGCTTGGGCCATTCGTTGAGGAACCAGCGACTAGGTTTGGGAGTGGAGAAGAGGGATAGAAAAGATCCATTACAGCCCTGGGACCAACTTAGCTGTCTGCAGCAGGTATCACAGCATTTCATGGCACCCCCAGGGGGAATTCTACTCCCAAGAGGGAAAGAAATGCAGTGGGAGCTGTGTTTAATATTTGGGGCCATTTCACGTGCTCCATGCTCAACTGTCCTTTATCCCAGGGTAGAGTCAAAATTCTCCTCTTCCAACAAGTCCACCGGTCTCCTGCTTTCCAGTCCAACATCCCCCGGGCATCACAAAGGGACAATAACAACAACCTCTTGTTTGCATGGTGCCGTTCCTCCTGAAGGATCTCACGCTATGTCACCAGGGCGTGGGGGAGGGGAGCAGACAAGTGGCGCACAGCGCTCTATGCAACACCGCCTGTGGTGGCGGGGAAGGCGACAAAGGGAAAAGAGTGCTTGGAAATCAAGGTGATGGAAGGGAAAGAAAATGGAGCAGAGAGGGGGAAATTTTTGGACAAGGACACCAGGGCAAAACCTTCCTCTGACACGACCTACCGGCAGATCGGCCGTTCAAAACCCTCATCGCGCCACGCCTTGCCTTACTGCACGTGCACAATTCCCGCAAGCATCCTGCGGGGACGTCAACCTACGGGACTAAGGGATTTGAGGGGTTTCAAGCCCTTGGCTCAGACTCTAACGCTGCTCTTTGCCAGCAGAGCCAGTGTCCGGGCAAGGGCTTTCAGACTCTGCGTAGCAGTCCGCTTTAGAGGCTTCCACACACAAGACCCCCATGGGGAAATCTCACTGAGCCACTGAAGGGCCCGGGTCCCTGTTCCATGTGCCCGGACGGCTAGTCATTGGAGCAGGCGGGCGAGGCTAGGCGGCCTCCCCGTGGCGCTATGGACTGGTTACCTTGGGGTGGGGCTGCTGTCGCTGCCCTTGCAGGAGCCCGAGTTGCTGCTGCTGCTGAGCGAAGAGGTGCCGTAGGTGTCCCGCATGCTCACGGGGGGAGAGGGGCGCCTGGAGGCAGGAAGAAGAGGCTGTTTCTCAGTCGGAGTGGCAGGGGGCGCTGAAGACTTAAAGAACGAGGCCAAGCCACTCCGTCCATAAAACCCCCGGCTTCCAAACCACCACAGACACAAGGACACACAAGACAAAAGGACAAAACAAACAGCGGGGATCAAGATGGAACAGAGCAAGGCTGTCTCACAACGGCTACTGCGACAATAGCAAAGGGAGGGCCGAGGGGCGCTGCACACCGGGCGCTGCCCTCGTTCCCTGGGCCAGGCCCAGGGAGGCTGCGCCCCATCTCCCATGTCTACTGCCCATCGCAACCAAGAGCTCCTACCTCTCTTGAGCAGCCCTACAGAGGGCACTGCAGACAGGGGCTGGGCTAAAGGGCCCCAATCCACCCCATCTTACAGCAAGGGTCTTGCGCCCAATGACAGCCATGGTGAATTTTGCCTCGGGTGCCGTTTTGGTTTGGAGCCACTCTGCACTCTCCTCTCCCACCCCCGTTCTGTTATAACGGGAGAGCCTTTTCCCATCACACCACAAGCCCAACACTCTCCTGAGCCTGCTGGAATCTCATTGGGTTTTATTTAGAGCGAAGTTAACCCTCCTACTCCCAAAACATCTGTCTGATGGGCCACCTCTGGGCTCCTCTTCTTTGACAGCATCATGTCGCACTCTGGAGGTAAGGCATTAGCAAGGCATTGACACAATCAATAGTGAAATAACCCCTGTCCGGGAAGGATGTGAACAATGAACAAACTCTGGTGTGAACAAGCATTTCTTCCCTGTTCTCTGATTGTACCCAGAGTACGGCAGCCTAGGGAACATTTCTTCAAAGAGCAAACCCCTTAAAGCCCCACACCCTCCACACCAGTGGCTGAGGACAAGGACACTCCATCAACACCTGCCTTTGGCCCAACAGAACTGAAGAGATAATCCCGACTTCACGCACTGCAGTGCAGAGACAAAGGCAAGCGTGCATGCAGGAACGTGGGCCCTTGTGCAAGTGCTGTGCAGAAGAGTTGTTAAGACATACCACAAGGTATTTCAGCAGCTGCCAGAACAAATGCCTGACCCTGGAGTCTGGTCTGTACACAATGCTGCCGGTCCAGGTCCAGAAAAGGACCTTGCTAGCTGCCCTTCTTAAATGAAAGCTCTTGGATCTACTCCTGCACTCTGGCTGCACTAATGCATTTGGGAGGAGAGGGAAAATGGCCTCTAGTTTGTATTTTTTATTGGCAAAGGCACTGCACGGATTCCATTGTCGTCTACAATAATGGGTTGGACGTACTCACCTTCGAGAGCCAGTGGAGGACCGTCTGCTTCCCGGCAGGGACATAGCAATAGCGCTGCAGGTCCCGGCAGTGAGGATAATCGGCACGCCAGCTAAATAAAGAGAAAGATAGGAGGAAAGAGAGTGAGAGCTGGAAGTGTGGACGACGTCACTTGAGAGGCACCCCGACTGGAGGGCTGGAGTGTGGTTAGTAATCTGTCTGGGGCAAGGGCCAGCTTTTTCATTGTGTGTGTCCTGTACCTACTGCTCTGGGGCCTGATCCCTGACTGGCGCCTGTCGGGTGCTACAGTAACACAGACAAATAATGGAAGCACTGTCGGATGCTTAGCCTCTCCAATAGCTGGGGAAAGGCCAAGTCCCATCTGAGCAGAGCTCTGCTGAGTTACACCACATTAAGATTTGGTTCAGCATGGTTTTTTTTTAAACTAACCATTCCTGTGCTCTGAATTATTCATCCTCCTTCAGTTCTATCCCCAGCCAGCTAATACTGTATACTCTGCTCTGTGCCTTCCATGCAAGGAACTCAAAACACTTTACACATATTAACCTCCGTTCCCCTGCACACATTTTACTCCTGTTACAGATGAGAAACTGAGGCCCAGAGAAGTGAAGCAACTTGCCTAAGGTTGCAGAGTGAGTCAGTCGCACAATTGGGAGTAGAAGTAACTCCCAGCTCTGGGCTTCAGCCAGACCTCTCTCTTCCGTCCGTACCAGAGGGCCTGGTCACGTGCATTTCTCAAGAGAGGTTATGTTCTCTTACTGTTTATTCCTCAGTTAAATCAAAATCATCCATAGCACAAAGAAACCAGATGTGGAAATAGAGGATTCCAGGCAATGCAGCGTGAGCAGAGAATCTCGTGAAAAATCAAAAATCCTGTTTTTAATGCAAATAATGGGCCTGATCTAGAGCCCATCGAAGCCAATTGGAATCTTTCCTTTGGATCAGGCCCCTGGGTGGGAATAAGAAACTGCGTGGGAAGAGAAATCTAGAAAATATGGGGTCAGCACCTAAATTCTCCTTTGATGATATTTTCTAGACCAGGGGTCTCCAACCTTTTTATGCCCAAGATCACTTTTTGAATCTTAGGGCCACCCAGGATCTACTCTGCCCCTTCCGCGAGGACCCGCCCCTTTCCCTAAGCCCCACCCTGCTCACTCCATCCCCCCTTCTCTCCGTCACTCGCTCTTCCCCACCCTCAGTCACTTTCACCGGGCTGGGGTAGGGGGTTGGGTTTCAGGAGGGGGTGTGGGCTCTGGGCAGGGGCCGAGGGGTTCGCAGTGTGGGAAGGGGCTCTGGGCTGAGCCTGGAGCAGGGGATTGGGGTGCAGGAGGGGGTGAGGGGTGGAAGCTGTGGAAGGGTGTTTGGGTGAAGGAGTGGGTTCTGGGCTGGGGCACAGTGTGAGGGTGTAGGAGGGGGCTCAGGGTGGGGCTTGGGGTACAGGAGGGGGTTCGGGGTGCAGGAGGGGTATGGGGTGCTGGCTCTGGGAGGGGAATCAGGGATGGGGGTTGGGGTGCAGCTTCCCATTGGGCTCCCTGCCTACCCAGGAACCAACTTGCTACCAGAAGGGAGCAACGCGCCCCTTTGGCCCCTGGGGCATGCAGGGGGCACGTGGCTCTGCGCGCTGCCCCGCTCTGCAAGCCCCGCCCCTGCAGCTCTCCTGGTCAATGGGAGCTGCGGAGGCGGTGCTTGCAGGCAGGAGCAGTGCGCAGAGGGAGACCCCTGCTTCCCCCCCTCTGCCCCCCGGGCCACAGGGCTGCGCTGGCTGCTTCTGAGAGCGGCGTGGGGCTGGGGTAGGCAGGGAGCCTGCCTTAGTGGCAGCCCAGCTGCACCACCGGAGATCGTGATCGACTGGGAGATCCTCTCGAATCGACCAGTCAATCACAATCGACCGGTTGGTGACCACTGCTCTGGATTATAGCAGGCACAGCTGTAATGCTGCGGCGGATTCTCCATCCCTGGAAATTTTCAACTCAAGACCAGATGTTTTTCCTCTATTTCAAATAGGGATTAATTCAGGGAAGTTCTACGGCCTGTGTTATACAGGAGGTCAGACTAGATCAGTGGCTCTCAACCTTTCCAGACAACTGTATCCCTTTCAGGGGTCTGATTTGTCTTACGTACCCCCAAGTTTCACCTCACTTAAAAACTACTCGCTTACTCAACCAGACATAAAAATACAAGCGTCAGAGCCACTAGTACTGAAAAAGTGCTGACTTTCTCACTTTTACCAGATAATTATAAAATCAATCCGTTGGAATATACAGATTGTACTTACATTTCAGTTTGTAGAGCAGTAGAAACAAGTCATTGTCTGTATCAAATTGTAGTGTGTACTGACTTCACTACTGCCTTTTCTGTGGCCTGTTGCAGAAGTAGGCAAATCTCTAGATGAGTTGATGTACCCCTGGAGGAGCTCTGCGTGCCCCAGGGGTACGTGTACCCTGGTTGAGAACCACTGGACTAGATGATCAGAGCCATCTCTTTTGGCCTTATATCTATGAATACAGTGTCTCTTTTATATGCCCTCATGTATTCTCACACTCTCCAGCACACCATAAACCTATGGAAAATATGGCTGCTCTGTGCCCCTGTCAATGTGCTTTCTGTCTCCTCCTTTTGGCCCCCACCCAGGCCTCCTCTGCCCCACACGTGAAGGGCAGCAGATACGAGTGGCAGTTTTACGTTTTACGTTGCCGTCCTTGGTGCTTTAAATAGGACTTGACCAGTTTCGCCCCTGCATGGAAAACTCTGCCAGCATCCCTTAACTTATGCTCCTTGGGGGGCGGCAGGAAAGGAAGGGAGAGGGGATGACCAGGGATGGAGCCAATGGCTGTTGAAGGGCTCTCCAACATTCGCTGTAGCTCTCTTCCCTCCTTCTCTCTCCTCCCCAACCCCTTTTTTCTGGGCACATCAAATATGGCAAATTCTGCCTCGTGCCTCTGACGCAGTGCCATTCCCCACTGCCTCCCTGCCCCCCGCAACCTGCAGCCTCTGCGCAGAGGGCTCCCAAACCAACAGCGCTGAAACGGTTAAAGAATCAAAAGCCCTGGCAATGGATAGACCCCGATGAATGCACTGACCTCCCGAGCTCGCTGATCAGCGACTTGGGCCAGGTACCGCGTCCTCAGCTCGGGCTGCACAGCATCGAGCGTGCTCTTGGGGCAGTACAGAACAAACAAAAACCTTGCGAGACATTTGACGTCTCCTTCGGGTCCTTGTGCTCCACCTTGAGAGCGGAAGCTCGGGGTGGCGGCAGCCGGGTGTGAAGGCAGGAGGCAGATGAGCCACGCTGGATCAAAGCTCCACACTCAGGAGCGTAGGAGCCGGTGTCTGCCTCCCTGAGCCAGGCCGCTGCAGGGGCTTTGCAAATGCACCCCCAACCCCACCGCTGCCACTGCAGAGGCTCAGTGAGTGCCAAGTGCACTGACGGCAGCTTGGGCGAAAAGCAGTCGCTCCAGTGCTGCCAGGGAGTGCAGGAGGCAGCAGCCCCAGGAACATGGCAGAGGATTTCAGGCTGCAGGAGGTGGGCCACACTTCACCGGCTCTGGGTCGGGCTGCAGGAGAGCTGGGGGATAACACTGCAATAACCTGCTCCGAGCGCAGCACCGGGGTACAGAGAGGGAGAATGTGAATGGCAGCCGCGCGGCGAGAAATCGCTTCTTTCGCCAACCGTTTTAAGACCAGCTGGTGCCTGCGGAGAGCTGCATGTGCTAGACAAGTAGCTCCAGGCCAGCTGGTTCCTGGCTGAATTCCAGGGTGAGCCACAGAACTCCCTAGAAAGGACGGTCTTGTGCCTAAGGCAGTGAATGGAGAATCCTGGCTCTGCCACAGATTCTCTGAATGCCCCATGGCACTTTTCCTTGACCTCTCTCTGCCTCAAGTCCCCATATGGAAAATGGGGAGAATAATGCTTCCTCTCTGCTTGTCTAGTTAGGCCATAAGCTCCTTGGAACAGGGACTGTCTTACTGTGTTTCCAGACAGCGGCTAGCACACTATTCACAGCGGGGGCGAGGCACTAGTGCAATATAAATAACTTAGCACCCTCTCTGCAGTAGAATGGGGCAAATGTCTCCTTGCAGCTGGTAGTTGCAAGGTATTGCCTCGACCTCCTGCTCTTACGTTTGTCCACGTGTTTGTCCACATGGAGACACTCTATTTAGTGGGTGACTAAAGAGTTTGTCTTTGGGGGAGATTTCCAAAGTCACCAATGGGATGTAGGCCCCAACCTGCTCTGGGTGCTTCTGAAACCCCCCTCATTAGCCCCTTGCTTCTGGTGGCTGTCAGCACCAGGCTTAATGCAATGCTTGGGCTGGTCAGTGACCAAGTGCTAAGTAGCAAGATCATGCAGGGCTCTACCTTGAAATATCACATCAGCTTCTGTTTCGGAGACACCCCCCATGCCCACTCCATGGTTAGATGGATACTCCATCTTTGTACACACCCACTGCACTTAAACGTCCCCATACTGGTATTACTAATAATACCTCAGAATATCGCAACTGGATTGTTTTATTTTTTAAATAAGTCAAACTCAGCATTTCTCGTTTGTTACCTTGTATAGTTTGCTCAGTCTAGACAATGGAACGAACCGCTCCATTTCCCTGTCTAGTTCAGCAGCACTAGCTCAAGGCTGCCATGTTGGAGTTGCAAGGGCCAGAGCAGAGCATTGGGAGGCAAACGAACGTGGCTTTTTGATGTTTATATATATTACAATTTTAGTCTGGTAAAACTTTAATTTAAAAAAAGAAAAGAAAAAGGAAAGACAAAAGCCGGATTTCAGGCCAACCACTCCGCCCCTGCCTCTTCATGGCACCAGGGCCCAGAACTGCAGCCAAGGGTTTTGCTTCTACAGAAAGGCAACCCCTCCAGCTGGAAAGTGCTGTCTTACATTCACCAAGAATTCTACTAAATTCCATCCAGCTTCAAACATTCTTTGCTAAAATTGTGTCTCACCTGCACCGCCAATCCCTTGGCCAACTATGCCGTGAAATGCAAACGTGCTCAGAAACCACATGTTGTTTCTTTGTCTTACACAGACATCCAGGTCTGCTTTGGCAGGCTTTTCTCACAGCTGTTTTAACAAGTATATT